ATTTTATAATGTTAATTATTGTTTACATTTATTGTTTTAAGATAATTTGCATTTGCTTAATTTTCGTGTTGTATAGTGTTTTGGGTTTTCCAATACTAGTAACTCATTAAAGGCACAGAGCTCACTTCAACTTTCCCTGGCACATATTAGCAATATAATATTTTTACAAATTATGTTATTTAACAAACTAGCACTCTAAATAAAAGCATGTACAGTATAATATAAACTTAAATGCTAAATATTTACAAATTAAAATCTAATTAATTTGCAAATATACTAGCACTAATTATACAAATCATACCGTATATTCTGTATAGCTTTAGTAATGCATAGTTAATTACACCATGGTAAATTATCACACAGTAATATACTACACAATAAGCTGCTCGACAAGATCGAGCACCTGTGGATTTTCTAGAGCCGCGGCCACCCTCTCCTTGTCGGCCAACTGTTTATTGACATCCTCTTCGGTCACATGACTTCCCGGTGCGACAAAGACGTCGATTTTGAAGCATTTGGGAAGGGCTCGGATCAGTTTAATATGAATGGACAGTCCGATGATAGTGGCCGACGGACAGCTGTACTTACTGGGGGTAAAGCATACTCGACACACATACCCGTCCACTTCGCACCCACCCTCAGACACCACTTTTAGGTCTTCCAGAGTGGAGGGCAGTTCCGGGTCCCGGATGTCACGGATCAGTTCGAACACCCGCTGGGAGTCCAGCCCTTCAGTTGTGGTCTGCCTTTCCGTTGACTTCATATATGACTTTGGATTTAAATTATCCGATTGTTTTGAATCCACAAAACGGCTTAATTTTGCCGAGAAATGCAAATCAAATGTGTTTTAAAATTTTTAATTAGATTTTAAAAGCAAATCATAGACTTATTTATAAGTTATACCGGTAATATATGCTTTATTTACTAAATTCTAGTGATATAGTCATGATACACATATGGTAGGGGTAAACATATGGTGTTTTGTAAACTTTTGAATATTACAAAATATTAATTACAAAATCAACTAACTTTATAGCACGTAAAATTTGCAATACCATAATTATAAATTATTACTAATAAAGCTTAAGTTTTAAATTTTTTTGCTGTTATATACTAAATTGTTAATTATTAATATAATTGTCCCAGATAATTGTAAATGTACATCGTGAATCAATCAATTATTACAGGTTAAAATTTTTAACTGTACACTTTCTAGTAAAATATTTGGTTTTAAGACCAATTATTAGTATTTTAGTAAACATCACTTTTACAAATTAGTTCTCTAAATATTACCAAGCTAAGAGTAATTATCTCAAAATAAATTATGTTATTAGCATGCACGGTAGATCATAAATAAATATAATAAACACTATATTAATATAACAGTTAGTATACAAATGACAGTACTTGTTGATTTTTAATAGTATATTGAAGTCAATATTGTTTTATTGTTTTTTGCAAAGTTTTATTATATTTATAAACATATTGTGTATAAATCGCTCCCAAAATAAACTACTTTTCACACACTTTTCAGTTCGTATTGATTATGATGGCTCTCTCTCTCTCTCTCATCCCATTCCCCTCCCGATCCACTCCCCATACAATACAATAGTATTTGTAAATTAGTTGAACAAATAGTTCTACTTTTTTCTAAACCATCAAAAAATAGACTACAATTAACTGACGGCTAAAATGTATTTATTTTTTATTGAGTGTATAATAAATTTATAAAAAGAGATTTTTATTTGAGAAAATATTTTTGAATATTTATTCATTTATAAAATTATTTTATAAATATTTTTCGGAATTATTTTAAATAATTTAATTACTATTTATATAATTTTAATTTTATTTTATTAATAAATTTAGAACTAATCAAATGAATGTATATATTTCGCCGATTATAATATAAAATAAAATAATTTTTTCTTATTTTATTAATGTCTAAAATAATTAATTAAACAATAATAGTATTTATCGCATTAATATAAGCGTATTATTTATTTTACAAATAATTTAATAAAAAATAATTTTCTATTCATTTAATTACTCGTTTATGTAATGTATAATTAGATACATGTTTGAATTAATTAAAATATAAATAAATTAATTTTTATAAATTATTAATTAGACTTTTATTTTTGGCGTGAATTTTATTTAAAAGTTGGATAATGTATGCAAAAATATTTATTATAATATAATTTAATAAAAAAAAGTAAAATCCATTTATAGATTAACTTTTATTTTCGTAGAAAATAAATACTATTTTTACTACAAACCACTGAATAGTAATTAAAATCAATTACAAACTTTTCATTAAAACACTGAATATTAATGAAATAATAATAAAAAGTTTATACGAAAAAATAATTATGAATTAAAATTTTGTAATACAAATGTTAACAAACATTAAATAGATTTTCAATACAAACCATTCAAATCTCACACAAACTTATTATGAAAAATGAGATAAAATAATCATTCATTGCAAAAGTCAATGACCCGTATATTACCAGTGAATCCCAGTTTTGTACAAATGATTACAATAAGCAATAAAAATACATAAAAATAAATCCAATATCAATAAGTTTTCAATACATTATTATACCGTATGAATAATACCTATAATAGTGGTTTAATATTGTAGTAAACTTTATAAACAGGGTCTTTAAAAAACTGGTATATATATGGCACTCAACGGGGGTTTCATTATATTGTATATAATTTTCAATTATATATTGATTTGTAATATGAATACCATATTTGTAAAAAACTATAAAACTAATGTAAAAACTATAAATATGTTAATCAACTAGTTCATAAAACACCTTGTTTAATATTTATAATACGTGGGATTAATAAGTCTAAAAATATTTGTATTAATTTAATATAAATTGTATGAAAAAATATTTTTAGATTACTATAAAAAGTAAAGCTAATTAATAATTAGGACAACATTTTCTTGATGAGTTAATTGAGTTATTAATTATAATATCTATAGTAAAAAAATTATAATTAAATTAAAGTCATGTATTGTTTTGTGTGAGAATGTAATGATTGAAAGGGTAATCAAATTATAGAAGTTTTTTTGTTTAGAAAATATTTTCAGATTTCTATTCATTTCATACATTTTTATAATAAAAATTCTCATCATTTTATGCTTAAAATTAAGATATCTATGATTTTAATTTTGTTTTATAACAAAAGGTATTTATGACTGATTTAATGGATAATCAAATATTTTTAGATTTAAGTTAAACATAATAATTGCAAAAAATAGGTTCATGTTGTATTTGTAAGAATTTATGTTGAATTTTTAGATTAAATACTTAAATCAGTATTAAATTTTTAAGTTTAAAAATATCTAACCTAACCTAACCTAAAATAATGCCTATGCAAACCTAACCAAACCTATCACGGTAATTGAATGACTTTAAACCTACGTTATGTATGAATGAGTTGACACATACAGATTAACACTCGTTATAAACAACAGTTCAAACTATAAAAATAATTTTGTACACTAAATCTGGAGTTAACTATTGGATTAATTATATCACAAATAATTAAAAATAAACTCACTTAAAAAATAAAATAATTAAAAACGATAATTAATACTCATTCAAATATATCGTAACCCAATATATACTGTAGTGCATATACAGCCCACATGTGAATGCAATACAAACACACAAACCGTTTGTGTGTGAAAAACCAAATTACTTTTAATCACTATTTAACACATAATTAGTTAATAAAATTAATAAAAATTAATAATTAGTGAATACATACTATAATAAAAGTGCAAAAACTAAACCCAGTTTATTATAACCAGGGCAAAACTGCTCGCGTAATGTGTTTTCAATACAATTAATGCCCGAAAAAAACTAATTGTAATTAAAACTCAATTATGTTTTCATTAAAATCCACGCAAACATTGAGACACGTGTTGAACAACGGGTCGATCGCCAGCACTACTATCACTAACACTACCGGTGCTGTCGCTATCACTGGACTGTCATCATCGCCACTCGTCACACACCACCTCCAAAGGTATCACCACTCGTTGCACCGACTCGTATGGCCGGGGATATCACCAACACTTGGTCCCAACCCTCGAGGAGGTAGTGATGGTATACGTATCATCGGTGCTACCGGTGCTGCTGTCGTGGACATCCAGAAGCGCTACATTAGCCGCGATTACGACAAAGTGAAGAAACTATTGCCCGAATCCGTTGAATACAAGTACAACGACTCGAAGTTCTTCGGCGAACACCAACTCGAGGACGAGCCCTATCTGAAGCTCACCACCGATGAGATCGTGGACCTGTCACGTGTCAAACTCGAGAAGGACTACCCGCGCGCTAACGTCGAGCCCATCGACATCAACGCTCAGCCCTACCGACAGGTGTTGGCCTCCAATGAGGACAACGAGAGGGGGTTTACGGACGTGGAGGTCGTGGGCGACGCCATACACCACAAGTCGGTGTGGTTTTGGGTG